GAAGACGGTCCATTTGTGTGCCTCGAGAGTCGGGGATTTTGTGGAAGCCATTTCTGTGAAGAATTCGTCCAGAACTTGTTCCTTGACAACCTTTCTGCTCTCGTATTGGACATTGAATTCCGAGAGTTCGAGCGACCATCTAAGCATTTAGCTTGACATGTCTGGCCGCCCGAGTAGCTGTTTGGCGGGCTGGTCGGTTCTGACCATGATTGTGTAGGTCAGGAAGTAATGTCGTAACCTCCTCCTGACCGCATTGATGAGGGCCAAAGAGACCTTATCGATTTGTTGGTACCTGAGCTCAGGACCTTGGAGGGCTTTTCTTGTGAAATATATCGACTTTTGCCCTTCATAAATCTTCCGGATCAGTGTTGCACTGACGACCTCGACAGTGACAGCCAGGTATACGTATAGGGTTTCCCTGACCTCAGGTCTCGGCAGTACCGGTGGCTCTGAGAGGAATTGTTTGAGATGGAGAAGGGTCTGCTCGCACTCCTTAGTCCATTTGGACGCGACTTCCTTGCGTAGAAGCTTGAAGAATGGGAGGGCGTGCTGGGCGGCTTGGCGATGAAACGGGATAGTGACGCGAGCATTCTGTTTAAGGATTGGATGGACTTCTTTGTGTTTGGAGTTATGAACTCGGAGAAAGCCCTGGATTTGTTCGGGTTCTCCTCTATTCATCATTTCATCAAGTAGAACCCGAGGAACTTACTCGCCCGTACACCGAAGGTGCACTTCTCCGGATTGAACCTTATTCTGCATTTCCTCGCTGTGTCTAAGACCTTTTTGAGATGAGCAGTGTGGTTGATTTATTCTCATGACTTCATGATCATGTTGTCCAAGTAAACCTTGAGCATGTCCCTGATTTCTCCTCAGAAGACTTTGTTCATCATCCGCTGGTAGGTTGCGTCGGTGTTCTTTAGACCGAAGGGCATTACGTTGTAGTAATAATTTCCTGACTCAGCCATGAAGGTTGTGTATTGTTTGTCGGTTTTCGCCATGAGGATTTACTGATACCCCAAGTACACGTCCATGAATGATAACAATTTAAAACCTGCAGAATTGTCGACACGTTTGTCGATGTTAGGTAACACGTAAACATCTTTGGGACATGCCTGGGTGAGATCAGTGTAATCAATGCACATCTTATATTTTCCATTATGTTTTTTAAATAGTACAATGTTGGATAGCCAGGTTATGTACTGGGCTTTTGATGTAAAATTTTCCTCTAGGAGGTCTTTTACAGTCTTTTCAGCAGCCTCCGCTTTCTCGGAAGACTGCTCACGCCTACATTGAAATACCGCCCTAACGGCCATATCTATGATGAGGTGGTGGCATGCTACGTCATGGTCGAGGTCGGGCATCTCAACAGTGCTCCACGTAAACAGGTCGGCGTTCTCCCAGAGGAAGGCCTTCAGCTGCTTCCTCACCAGGTCGAAGGGTCTAGTGCCAATCTTCACGCTTCTTCCTGGGTCATCTCTGAGTGCGATGAGCTCGAAGTCTCCATATGGAATGGGACACGTTTAGTGGGAAGGTTGCCCGTTGTCTGCTGGAGGTGCGTCCTTAGACTCTATGCTCTGCTCTTGCTTGCTGGGGAACCGACTGTCGAGGTCAACGAAGTTGATGCGGGGTACTGGCTTCTGCTCCACAGCCCAGGCTGATTTATCAGTCGTCTTAGGGGTGATATTGATTGGGTTAACGCCCTTGATTGCTGCCTCAAAACATCTTTTGGCCGCCTCAATGTCCCCGTGGAGGGTGACGACTCGACCTCTGGTTGTGTAGTACTCTATCTTCAAGTGTATTGTAGATGGTATTGCGGTCAGTTCAGCTAAAGTCAGTCTTCCCAGGATGCACTGGTACAGAGAAGGGAACTCGATCACCAAGAAGCGGACCTTTACTTGCCTGGCGTTCTCCTCGGCTCCGAATGTGATGAGCAGCTCCACATATCTCTAATGCTTTGTGGTGGTGTCGTTGAAGCTCGATAGGTCAGAGCCGACATACGAGGTCAGATGGCTCTTGTCGAGCTATTATGTCCACCGAGCTCTCTTGATCGACCAGGATTCGTCGCACGTCAAAGCTTGCCATGTGATCCCTAATTAAGAGGGGAATGTTGGAGTTGGATGCACCCCTGGGCAACTTCTCGAGGTAGAAGGTAATCGGGTTTGATTGACTTTTGAACTTGTCGAGGGTGGCGATCTGCTTCGAGCTCTTGTCGATCAGCTCCTTGAATTTCCTCTTGATCGAGCCGACTGAGAGCTTGCTAGGGCCCCCTCCAGATATGACAAATGCAGCAGAGAAATCCTCCCAAGGACTTCGGGAAGACAACGGTGTGTCGGGCTTGCCTGAAAGGAAGAAGTCTTCTGGCCGAGAGATACATACGGTGATATGCAATCCGGCTTCTCCAGAGGGGGGTGATACCTCCTCGATCCTTTTGGTTTCGTGGGTCTCTTGTCGAGGAGCCTCGTTTCTCCAGGTATACTATTTCAGGTGCCCTTCCTTGATTAGGTTCTCGATTGCATCCTTGAGGTGGATGCAATCTTACGTGACGTGTCGATGACTCCGGTGGAATCAATAGTATTTGGATTTGTCGATGTTGGGCTTGGGGGGTGTCGGTTTCGGAAAACGGACACCACCTCTTTGAAATTCATAGTTAATGCATTCGGCCAGGATGTGCTCGCGGGAAGCTGTGAGTAGCGTGTACTTGATGAACCGACCTGCCGACCCTCTCTGTTCTCAGGGCCGGGTTTCTCTTCTTCTTTCCTCGCCTCTTCAAGGAGCAGCGAAATGCTCGTGTATGGCGTCCCTGATACCTTCTTGATTCTGCGTGTCGCAGGCGTAGTGAGGTGCCTCTATTTCCTCATACTGGATGTATGATTGGGCTTTGAGGAGGAGAGCATTCAAGGTGCGGGGTCTCTCGATCCCGACGACCTTGGCGAAGTCAGTGCGAGGTCGTAGTCCTCACTCGATCAAAAACTTCCTCATGTCGTTCGAGGTGGCCACCTGGACAGCTTCTCGGTTGAACTTCTCTATATAATCCCGAAGAGGTTCATCTTTTCCCTGGATGATGGCTTCCAGGGATGCTTCCGTCTTCGGGTGGCGTCAGAAAGCAGTGAAGCGCCTAGAGAACTGCCTCTTCAGTTCGCCCAAGGAGGTGATGGATTCGGGCACGAGGTGCTTGTACCATGTCATATTTCTCTTCCTTAGGGTGGTAGGGAAAAACATGCATTTGATGGCTCCACGGAAGTTCCGATAGTCGAGCATTGCATCGATGCTTTTGATGTGGTCGTTCGAGCAATGGAGTCTCCCTGATGTCCCTGGACAGTGGTGAGCGCTGGTCTTCCTCGTCGCTCCTGACAGGTGACTGAGAAGGAGAAAGGTCACCGCAATTGTTTTTGTTTCGTCGGGGAGGACTCATCGGGAGGCTCTTTGGCTTCTCGGTGCCTCCTTCAGCTTTGTTCCTTTTTTGAACGGGGGAGCGTCGCTCCTTCTGGGGAGGTGATCGGTCACGCTTTTGGGAGGCCACTGGCTAAGGCCGCTCCAAGCGAGGGCGACGTCCAGTAGGTCGGGGAGAAGGGCTCTAAGAGTTGTCGTGTCGCGTCCTCCGCGGAGAAGGAGAGGGGCTGTTGGAGATGGGGCGACGATGTTTCAGCGGGGGAGAGCGTGATCGTCGCTCCTTTTCGAGCATCCCTATGCGCTCATTCAGCTGGAAGATCATCAGGTTGATCGCCGCGAATAGGGCCACCTTGGTAGGGTCAGCGCTAGGTGGCACCGGGATTGGCTGGTAGGTAGCCGAGCTATCAAAGCGGTGGGCAGTGTTGAAGGTCGCGTCTTCCGATGAGGGAGAGGCGGCGTGCCCGTCCCTGGAGTCGCCCTCCTCAACGTGAACGGTCACATTGGGATCGTGTTCGTCACCGTTGGTGAAGGGGACAAATGCAGTTTCCGGAGCGTTTTCGTTGCGTGGGCTGACCATGATCAAACGGAAGTTGGATGTTGCTTTGGTTCTTGAGCTTCTACGCTTATATAGGAGAAAGAACGGGGGAGCAAAGAATTCCCACAGACGGCACCACTGATTTTACTTGATCAGACAAGAATCAGCAGCCTGCCACGCATCGTGAGCTCCTGTGTTCACCGATGTTGAAGAGGAGGTGGGGGTGTACCTGCAAGTTACTCTAATACCTAAGTGAGTAACTGAGTTTAGAAAGAGTAAATACAGAGAGATTAGGTGTGTAGAATGGAATACTTGACCCTCTAGTAAAAGAGGGATTTATAATGTGCCTCCAGCGCAGGGCCAACAGTTACTTTGCATTGGACCGGATTGCAAGACCAAATACGAGTAACTGTCAGGGCTTACGTGGCGTATGGAAGACCAACACATGATCTTCGTGCTGGATCAACTACCCCATGATCCTCGAAAGGTGATCTTTCGGAAGTGGATAGTTGCTCGATGACGTCTCCCCGCGTGGGAGACACGTGGAGAATATGGGAAAGACGCGTGAGCACTTTCTGTGCTAGGTAGTGGTCTGCCCGACGACAGAGTTGAGCGTATTCGACATGGAAAAATTGAGCCTTGTTGGACCTCTCCAACGTAGTATTGAGTTGGACCTACCCAACTGTGGAGTAGGTCTCGACCCCAGAATAATATATATATATATATATATATATATATATATATATATATATATATATATATATATATATATATATATATATATATATATATATATATATATATATATATATATATATATATATATATATATATATATATATAAAATTGAAATAAAAAATTATAAACTAAAAGCTATAAGATTGCTTAAAAACCAAGTTTTTTTTTCTTATCAAATAGACTCTTACGCATTAATATTTTTTTCTTTTTGGCTTAATATTCACCAAAAAAGGCAAAAACAATCTTTTTATTTGACAAATACGAATACTCCTCAAATCTTCAAACCTAAAGCGCACACAAGTTGGAAGAAACGACATCGTAGCGAAGAAACAAGAGAATGAAAAGAGACAGCGCACTCGCTCGCGTGGCAACCGGAGCCGCCGTTGGCGGCGCAATCGGCGGCGCTGTCGGTAAGTTTTTTTCGTTCTGATTCCCGGTATAGTTGCGCAGAAAATCAGAGATAGCTCAGTTGTTGCGTTCTACTTTCACATTGTTATTAGGTTAACTGTGTATATTTATTTTTTAAATTTTAATTCTGTTGCATGCAGGCGCTGTATATGGAACTTATGATGCAATTAGGTATAAGGTGTGTATCTGAATTCCATTTGTTTTTTAGTTTCATTGATTATTGAATGAATTGGCAAAGGTGGATGCAATTTTTGTGTAGTGTTGGAGCGTTCTTTGCTATGTTTGAATTTGAAATTCTCCATTTAAATTGCTTTTTTAATTAATTAAGAATATAATTAAGATGATTATGTTTTGTATACTTGAAATCATATAGTGGTAGGCATGGTTTTAAATTGCGGTTACTGGTGTTGCGATTGCTGTTATTGTTGTTACTGTGACCGTTGCAGCGTGAATTTTGATTGAGAAGAATTTGAAGTACATTGTTAGAAAACGGTTAATGTTAAGATTTTTCAGAAGTTAATTGAGTTTTAGGTTCTAATTTTGAGTTTTGACAAAAATACTTGGAGAAACATGGTTGAAGTTGTCTGAAGCTGTTCCTAATGCGGAAAGACGCGTGATTTCAAATCACACTGCAATTGTGATCCGATACTGTTGCGGAGACTACTGCATAAGCAATATTGTGGTCGCAATTTAAAACCATGGTGGTAGGTTAGGTTTCAATTTTCAAAGCCGAATCACTGAGTAAATCATATGTATTACTGATTGCAATTGTAGCATGGTAAAGTAGAATGTAGATTCTAACTGTTTGTCCAGTGTTAAACACGCCGTGGCGGGCATCCCTTCACCAACTGCCTATGGCAGTTGTCGAAAGATCAGCTTCACCATCCTGATTAAGAAGTGAAGTGGATTACAATGTAAGTAGAAATGGAAGATGTGTTGATACAGCCCTCTGTCTCTTTATATGTATCCGAGAAATACATGAATAAAGATGAAGAAATGTGGATACAAGATGACACAGACTTCTGAATAGGTTTGAGAGAACCGGACTTATCTCAGACTTTCCTTTCTCTCTCAATCAATCAATAACTGTCCTTACCAACTTCTCATACCTCATTTAACTTCTAATTACATGTGCGAACACCGCTTGTTGCCTGTTTCTAGTTACAAGTGGTCTCTAACAAGTTGAAATTAGATAAATGAGATCTTATGACCTTAAGCTTCTAGTTTGTGCCCAAAATTCTCCGTTCTATTTGCTAAAAGATGATCGGTTTGATGTAGAGCTAAGGATAGAGGCAATAAGGCCATGTCTTTAGGCCATGAACTAGTGGGTGGGCTGGCCTATGTTGGCATCTCTACAGCCCTATTTACTAAATGATGATTCCACGGTCCTCTTTACTTACTCATGTTTATGAGATGATCATCAGAAAAGCTGTTATAGAGGTTTATGCCAATATTATTCTCGATCCTTTTTCCATTCAAAATGCAGTAGGTACCGTCTGATTGGTGAGGAAGTGTAATTGTAGAAATGAAAAAGAAAAGTTAAGATTTGCTATTCAGGGAGAGAGTTATAAACAAAATTATCATAAAAAGAAAATGAGTGGGCTAACCCATTGGCTGACCTCATCCCTAGCCCAAAAAATGAGAAAGGAATTGGGTGTGTGGCTTTGCAAACTTTCTGGGTTCAATTGGTCCCCACACTGCAAAGTTTACAGGAGCTTGGAGGGTTTGCGGATGACCAAGGTTAGTGGTTGTAGAGCCAGCTTCAGATGTGTTCTTCCATTGTGATTAGTTGCCTGGTAGTTCTGTGGGGGAGTGTCTATAGGTGGAGTCCGGTGAGGCCAACAGGGCTGTCGATGCCCTTGCTAATATGGGCTGTGAGCTAAAGAAGGTTTGGTTCCTTTGAGCAATCCCATCCTTTGGTTAGGTAGTTGTTACTTGCTGATATTTTAGGGCTTTGTTTCTTTGTAGTTAATCTCAGGCTCCAAAAACACATCACTCGACAGACAACTATATAGTTACTGGGTTATATTGGGAAATTCATATGTGGAGACTGTTGCGTTTATTTTAGTGCTTTTTACTTTGGATTGGACAAATATTAGTGATATTGATTCATTCTTTGTCTATTGATTTGGATTTATTTTTCAAAGTCTTCCCAATGCTTGTATGATTTTCATCCGCACTCCAGAAAAACCTTAATTCAGCCTTATCTTTCCAAAAAAGCAACATCTATAACACACCACTAATACGTGGGACACTTTGAAGAGCAAGAACGCATTATAGCACAACCAAGAATCTAAAATATAATTGGTGATGGGAATATTATAAAACTTAATATAAGGCTATATGCAGTATCCATGCCACATGCTTCCGTGACAAATGAAGCATCAGCTAGTTCTGAAGTTATATAATAGATAAAGTAACAACATATATAAAATAACACTGTCTCATTGGTTCTTCTGTTTTACGAAACTCAGCTTTGATGTTGAAACCTTGCAGGTTCCTGGATTCCTCAAGATTAGGCATATTGGGCAGACCACTCTAGGAAGTGCCGCAGTATTTAGCTTGTTTCTTGCAGCAGGAACCTTGATTCGTTCTCACTAGTTTGTCTTGTATTAAATTGTGCAGTCTCGATGATGAGTTTTCTTCAATTGTCGTATCGTTTACCTTATAGAATTTAATCTTTTCTGTGTCTGAACTAAACTATTATGCTGCTGCATTACTTTTGTCGCAATAAATATCAGACTTTAATTTGCTGGCTTATCTAGGTTTCTCTACAGATTCTGCCCATTTTGACATTTTCATGAGACTACCACCTGAGTTACTTTCTTTGAATTTAAGCTTTGCATTTCCATTTGCTTTGCAGCTTAATCCACATTTTTGTAGGTATATGATAAGAAAAACTTGATTGCTGGAAGATATATCCACATTGCATATGCTGTTAAATTACATGCTTATGAATGTTTTAACAGTCTGAAAAATCATTTACATAAGTAATAAGATATTATATGATGATTAAGCAGTTGAATAAGATTTGTATTTTACACAAAATATTGATGGTGTAGTTATTATGTTAATTTTTTTTCTTACAATATAATTTAACTATTAAGATGATGCAATAATATAACTGTTAGGATGATTATGTTAATATAACATTTGAGTTATATTTAGAGAATGACTCCAACATAATTTTTGTTGCATACTTATATCGATGGAGTCCTAAAAAAATAATAGGAGTTTCTAATAGTTCCAATTTTTCTTTCTTTTAAAACCACTTTTTTCACATAGGTTAAGGATATGTTTTGTTTTAAGTTTAAAAAAATATATTTCTTCTTTGTATTTTTAAAAATAGATTTTATAAAATTATTTTTTAAAATATTATAAGTTTTTTATGTTTGTTTTTTCTAAATTAAAAGACTAATTTTGACATTGTATAACATAATATATATTATTAAAGATTAAAATATAGTTAAATTTATAATTTTTTCAAAAGTTATATTTTAAAAATGATTTTTACGAAAACCTATTTGAAATAGTTTTTAAATTAAGTAATATTTAAAATTTGAATATTAAAATATTTTTAATAAAATAATAAAATATCTAAAATAATATTTTAAAAATAAACAAAATTTTTATTTAAAATTAAAAAAAAAAAGTTTGTTTGTAAAATTTGTTAACACAAAATTATGTTGAAGTATAAAAGTAATTTTTTTTAAAGTTAAAACAAACGGACTCCAAATTTATAGAAAAAGCATAATCTTAAAGTAAAAACATGTGAAACAAAAATGTAAACAACTATCATTTTAAAGATTTAAGGGTAAATTTAGTTTTTTGTTTTTAAAATATAATTTTTGCAATTTAAATGACTTTAAACGTGGTTATAAATAAAATTAAATGTTTTTGGTCAAAAAAATTAAATGTTTTTTTTTAAAATATATTGGTACATAAAGGAATATTTATTTAAATATGTTAAATATTATCTGGCGTTTTTAGAGGTAAAATTTAATATCATCAATTATTAAAATTAATCTCATCAATGTATTAAATATTATATTTTAATAAAAGTAATTATAATTTATTTAACACTGAAAATCAATATGATTTAATTAATGAACAATAAGGTAGCTATTTCTAATCATATTTTTTGAACATTTTCATCCGGCATAATAAGAGAAATTATTCATTGCAATCCATAAAATCATTTAATCAAATGTATTCTAATCATTTTACATTGTTTTTTATAATTACAGATAAATATTTTATGAATATTAATAGTTTTAAAAAATTAAACGGACTAAACAAATTTTAATCTTTTATTTTATTTTATTTGTTTTGGATAAAGTCCACTATTTAATTTTGGTAATCTTTCCATTCATGAATCCGGTGAATACTGAGAATAAGGATAATTAACTGCAATTAATAAAAGATTACAATGAATCCTCATTTTTACTATTTAATATGTAAAGACTATATCAAAAACCCTAAACATTTTCACTATTATATATTATTTTTCTCTTTTGATTTCAAACTCATATCTGAAATTTGAATATGATTACAACACTGTCTTTTCGAATTGCATACAAATGCTGGTTGATGTTAATCGAATGGACTTCTTTTTGTTTTCTGGTGGCCGGTGACGTAGCTCGTACACTCTAGTCCGCCGTCGCGGGTGGCGGTCGTCATGGTAGCCGCATTCGACGTCGTCACGAAGAGTCAAGATTTTTCTAGAATTGTCTTACTTTAGACCGGTCTGATGAGACTTTAAAATTGTAATTTTTACCTGAAGATGGACCAATGAGTAATTAATTTATTTTGTTGCAATGGTAATTTCCTTCAAGAAAGGGTATGTCTTCTCAAAAGCATCCCTAATAATTTATTTTTCTTTTAAATTCATTCTTTTTGAATTGTACAATTCGTTATGAACAAATACGCAGGTGAATTTGTTGGTATGGCATTGTTATATCACATTTTTGACCCATCAATAACCATGAGTTTTAGTGTTAACCATTATGCACTTGTAATTGGGGATAAATTTTCTTGCTTTACTTCGACACATTCCCTTCTTCACTAAAAAGACATTTTTGCTGCATTTAAAAAATTATCTAAAATTATCCAAAAAGAAAAAAGGTCTTAAAATTGCATCTATATACAGAGATCACATAAGTGAATTGAAAATGAGGATTCTGAAATTTTTGCAATAAAATTGAAATTCACCATACTTTTTTTTCTCAAAAAAAATGGGGGTAATGAAAAGGAAAAATAAGTCTTCTGAAGAGTTACTAAAAATAACCTTCATAAATATTTTTTGGTTAACGCAATATGTACTCCATGCTATATTTTAAACAAATTCTTTATAAAAACTATTATAAAACTTATGCCTATCAAATATATAAATGAAGAAAGTCAAATATCTTTCACATGCATGTATTTAGATGTAAATGTGTTGACCTTAATAATACGAAGGATAATCTTAATAAATCTGATGCTAAAGTTAATAAAGATTTATTCCTTAATTATTCCACTTATAGTAAATCTTTTTAAACTTATAAAAAAAGGATCATGACTGTAGAATAATCTTTAAATGTTACCATTGATGAAACTAATCAAATACTATCGTAGAGATATAGGTTATTGATTATGCAAATATACTAGTGAAAACCATCTTAGAAGACAAAAATGTAAGTGAATAATGAAGAACTACAAGAGAGAATCCCTATGAAAATGTTATGGAAGATATATCAAAATGGGCTGACACTCGGCACTCTTTAAGTTAGTTATGTAATTACATGAATTTTATATCTCAAATTGAGACAAAGAACAACAATGAAGCTACCATTGGTGGACATTGATCACTTGATATGTAAGAAAAGTTAAATCAATTTGAAATAAACAATGTTTGAAAACTTATTTACAAACTTCAGCTAATCTAGTCATTAGAACCAAATGAGTATTTGCAAAAGTTTGAGGAGAACTTTACTATTTTAAGAAACAAATCAAGAATTCTTGTGAAGGGGTAGAATTAACACAAGCAAAATATTGCATATAACTTCTAAAAATATTTGGGATGAAAAATTCCATCAAAATATCAACTCTCATATGCACATCATTTTACTTATATAAATATGAGGGAGAAAAATCAATAGAAAAAAATAAGTACAGAGGTATGATCGATTTTCTCCTTTATCTTACTACAAGTTGTCTTGATATTATGTTTAGTGATTGTATGCATGCATGTTTTCAATCGAATCCCCACACCTCACTACGATCAAACACATTATTAGATACGTCAATAGCAAAGTATCTCAGGTAGATCACATCCACATAAGTGACACTCTTGTCCATAAAAATGACGTGTCACTCAATGCGTAAGCTCTATGCTCCATAACCCGCTCATCATCACCTACAACCTACTTCACCTCAAGCTGCTGTATATACAACCTGTCTAAGAATTAAAACCTACCATGACACCATCTGATGCCTTCTATCTCCCACAAGACATCCTTTAGGTCAGCTCCCAAATAGTCTACCATCATCTCCAATACTCCATCTCTGATAACTTTGTCGTGGTCTAACAGTATCCCCCTGATCGAAAAATATAGCAAGCATGAGACATCATCTATTGTGAAGGACATCTCACCATGTGAATGATGAAAATATGATTTCTCTGAGTTCCATCTCTCTACAAACAAAGACAATATGCCATGGTTAATCGTAACATAATCGGTCCTACACAAAACTCGGATCCTAGATAGTTGCATCTCATCTCGAAACCACTAATTAGTAGGTTGCGACAGACCTGTAATGTTCCGACCATGGTTGAAGCATTTGAAGCATCATTTTTTTGCAGAAAAATAAATCATCTTTAAAAACTTAGAATAATATAACAAAAGTGTTTTAAAGAATGAATACAATTGAATTAGAATAATGAAAAACTTATTAAATGTGAATTTTTTTAACGTTGAGTGAACTCTTTAGTCGATTGAATATTAATGATATAAATTTTGAAGTAAGTTAAATGAGTTCGAGAGAATGTGAGTTGAGAGGTTTTAAGATAGTATTTTGAAAAGTAAAAAATGAAAAAAAAGACTCTAGTACAATTTTTATTAAAATAGTGTCCAAACTAAATTTTTTTAACACTTAATGTTGGAATTTAACTCAAAACAAACTTAATTGAATTATTGAGATAAATTTTTTTCTTCCCTATGGGTGATGTGGAAGTAATACTTAGAGTCTGTAAAGCAATTTCCAATTTCCTTGAAATGGCCTATAATGCATTGTCACTTTGCACTTGATTTAACTCTTCCCAGAAACCCAAAAGCTCGCCCGAAGATACAGGCGGTGTTGCTCGTCGGCAGCCTGTAACAGTGAGGAATTCCGATCAGGTTTGTCTTTTTCTCCGAATTTTCCTTCCACCTTACTGTTGCGCGGCGAGTATGCGATTTGCGGCGCCGTAGCCGCCCCTGCAACTCCTTGATTTTGCAATTACGCGCTAAATGTGCGATTGACAACATAGATACATGATAATAAACACATCTTTGTGTACGCGGAAAGTAAGATTAGGGTTAGGGCCTGGGTATTGGTTTGTAGTGTAGTGGTAGGTAGATTCTGTTATGAGATATGAATAAAAAGAGGCACTGAGAAATGCCTTTTTGTAAAATATAGTGTTAGAAGATGGAATTAGGGAAGAGAAATCAAGATTGTAAAATATCGTAGCTATGTAGCACCGACACCTTCGAAAAAAAGGTACGTCGTCTGTGTCAGTGTCACTCTACACCAATACTTGTGATTGTGATTAGGTTTCATTTATTTATTTTTTCAAATTATTACCGGTGTCAGTGTCGGTGTGTTTGTGCTTCATAGCCTTCTTGGGGCATATTTGCTAGGTGAAGTTGTTCTTTGTGATGCAGTGCAGAAAAAGACGCCCTCATAGAAATGGTTGAGTAGAGAATTGAACAATTTTCTATTGTTCCGCTGCACGCTATTTAGTACAAAGTGTTGTCAAATAGTGGCTATACGACACAATAACGGTGCATCATAGTGAAATTTTAACAAACTTCTACTTTCTAGATTCTGCAATTCACAACCCTATTTACTACTTTCTAGTACTAATATGGATTCAGTTAACTGTTTTTTCTTGTGAAAAACTCGGAAAGCACAGCACTGACACCCTGTAGTTTTCCAGTATTTGCTGTGTTGCATTCAGATGTTGAAGCAGTGATTCACGAGGAAAACAAGTAAAGCAATTTTTTTGTATCTGAATGGCAGCTTCAGCAAAATCTCTCACAAATAGCAATTGCACAACAGATGGAGATTGGACGGTTATTTTACCCCGTCGTGGAAGACAAAGGAGAAAAGATACTGAAGTTGAAAGAGTTTCCGAAGAAACACAAGAACCATGGGCTCCAACAGATTCTCAAAAAGATCCAATCAGAGAAGCAGCATTAATGCAGAGAATGGAAAGATATATTAGTAAGATTGAGAACTCTCAGTTCTATCAAACTTTCAGAGATCAGATTGAAACATCAATTTTGGATTATTTCCATATAGTTTTGGGCTCAGAGACAAGTATGCAGATGGTCATTTACGGAATCGGCAGCATTGAATTGTATGAGCCGCCATGTTTGCAGCTTAGCATTGCAATGTTGATGAAACGAGATTTAAATTTGATTGGAAACATCGAGGTATTTGATCCTATCCTCTCTGTAACTGAGTCTTGCGTTTTGGAAGCTCTTGGTTGTTCCGTCATGTCCATAAACGAGCATGGGAAGCGAGAGGCTGTGAAGCCAACAATGTTCTTCATGCCTCACTGCGAAGCAGAGTTATATAACAACCTGTTGCAGGCAAATTGGAAACCGAGTTTCTTAAATAACATGGTATTATTCGGGAACAGCTTTGAAGAATACGAGCAGCATGTGTCATTGTGTAAGAACTCTCCTGTTCTGAACTCAGTAAAATATATCTTGGCTGCCCGGAGTTTTACAGACGAAATCAAAATTGAAACAATTCCTGATGATTATTATAACGCATTCCATGATTCAAGTTGGCATTTTTTCAGCCCTGTCCATGATACAGAGCTGCAATTTATCAATTCTTGATGGAGTTTATCTCGACCAATATTTTGTTGTACACTACTTAAATTGTTAGAACTATTACAATCTTGTACACCACTTTCCCCAAATACACTAGAGATTTGGCTCATGCCTAAGGGTTAATGTGAAACAGTGTAAAAGTTTGTTTTTTCATTTGTTTGACAACTCGATTATTCCATTCGATTACTTTTATCTGTCCATAATTTGACAAGATAAACTTTGTTTTTATCTATTTGTATGATTAGAAAGTGATGTAAGACTTAGTTGTTTTTATTTGTATGGATAGAAAGAAGTATAAGATGTTTATGACTTTTCAAATCTCATATCATATTCTCAAAATAATATAGGTACTCATCTCATAAAACAAGCAGCAAATGGATTGTAGCAATTAGTCTATGTTTGGTAACACAGCGCCACTGTTTCGCATGTTTAAAGTTGCATTTTTGAAGCCTTTTTCATTGTGATTTTGAAAAACTAGTTTATGTAGCTTCTGTTCTTCCACCACAATTTTCAAGGTTAAAATATTTTTTTTTCTTAAAAAAAGAATTAACATTGAAACTCAGTCATTAAAATTTATGGCGTGATAGTTTTTGTTTATTAATATTTTCTTTTATTGATGTGGATGACTTGGATGATTTTTATTTTTTATTTTTTACATTCATGATGACAGGTATTTTTGATATATAAACATAATACATTAATACATAAACATAAATAAATACCATTAAAAATTGGACTAGAAAATAATAGCTTATAATAATTTCACATAATTGACATATATTAGTTGAGATATACCACTCATCTTGTCAAAATTAATTTTACACTGTTAATCAATGACGATAATGTATTCTACTAAATTAAATTGAAAATTTTAAATAATTATATAATATAGTAGAATCATATATTTTTATTTGATGATAGTACATTGTCAGTGTATCTATATTAAATTTAAATATTATCTTAGATAAAATAATATTTATATTTAAGCAATTGAAAATCAAGTCAATAATTTAATAACAATCAAATTTAAACAACTTGTTCTTCATTAGTTTGATTTAGATTGTGAGGAACACTTGGAAAAATCAAATTAAGTTATTTATTTTCAACTATTCAAATTTATTTTCTCTAAAAAGTTACACCTATCCATTTTAATATTTATAAATCTAAAATCAATCAACTATCTAATAGGACTGGGCAGCGGGTCAGATCGGTTCGGACCCAGAATCTTAATCCGACCAATTCATCGGGTGAGTAATTTTAATCCATTTTTAACCGGATTGAATTTTGAGTTTTTCGGATTCGGTTTTATTCGGGTTCGGGCCTTCAGTTCGGTTTTTTCCGGATTTGACGGATTTGGGCCCAATAAAATAAATATAACAAATTCAATATAAAATCAAATTGTTTAACTAAAATTAAAATTAATCCTACCAAAGACCATATAAAATCTAAGTTTAAATTAATCCTTCCAGCATAATTTAATACATGTAGTAACATAAACAAAGCCAAATAAATCTAATAACATAAACCAACACAGCCAAAGCACCATTGTGAAACCCGGACTTGAAAAACCTTCCATTTTATATGTATTTTGGCATGTTTGAAATACATATAAAGGTCTGCACCACCACCACCAACAAGGGGTAAGTAGATGTAGATGTAGCAGCAGTTATGTCTGCCAGGCCACCACCAACAAAATGTATGCAAAGGTCTGCACTAACATTATCCTTATTACTTTGCAGTTGCGGAACTGTTCTCAGCAACTGCACATATAAAACACCAATCAATATAAAAACAACAAAGAACAAAAGAATATACCTATCATCACAAAATACTTATATCCTTACCTTCTTGTAATGCTCGTAAGAATAAAAGTTAACCATCGGTGAGCAATTGTAACCAGGTTCCCTTTCCAGAAAGCTTTAAACCCCTCTCATGAATTATTCTTGAAGCCTCGTTCCATATACTTGCTTTTCTCAAAGTTGCAACATTGGAATGCATCCCCTGAACCTGATAAAACAACATAAAGGAAAAACACATTATGGTCGAGATACTTACTCATCAACAAACAAGACTTTTGATAATACCCAAAAATCTAAAAATAACCTATATAAATAAATATCAGAACCTTATTACTATCCATTGAATCCACTTTGTAATTCATAGACTCATAATGATGATGTTTGCAAAACAAGATAAGGAAATGGTGTTTCTTGAAACTGCCATGGGATTGGCTCAACAACGGTTCCATTGTATGTCCCAAACATATTGAAGCCGATTGCTAAACAGGCGACTAATTAATTAGCATTTTATAGATACCTGCAGATGAAGCCGATAGCTTTTTCTTATCATTCCTTGGAGGTTTTCGATTCCTTGTGTTGCCATAAACTCCAGCCCAATTTCTTCTGTGAGCTTTAATGATCTACAAAGTTCTGATAAAATGGAGAAAAATAAAGAGGTAAAAATGAGGAAGATTCAATGTTTAGTACCTTCCAATAAATTGGCTTTAATGTCAATACAGGAATATACAATAATTTAACCATATGTTGTAAGTTACAACAGTTCCATTTTTTTTTAGAGGTTGTTTGAAGAATCGGGAAGGGAAGATAATATTACATAAAGACATGATAGAAAACATGGATTATATTTCACCTCATACGTAATGTTGCCTCCTGAAGATGTCGGTTGACGAAGAGAGGCATTTGAGATGGAACCAGATGCAGACAGAATGCATATTTCACCCCTATTTTGTTGCATAAATTGCATGATTTTTTGGCCAACATCCTAATGAATACATGCTCAGATGATTATAGAATCAAGATACACACAGAAGAAATATGAAAACCAAATTGGATAAATGCCAAACATAATATATTCAAACATCATGGATGCAGGAAAATTGACAATGACATTTAGAAAATTAAGATCCTAAAACATCTTGGCAGGCGTTGAACTAAAAGGAGAAAAGACTAATGTCCGAAAATACATACAAGCATATTTTGCTTAAATAAACTGTTTTTTTATAGAGATGTAAATGAAGTTATTTTTTAATGTTGTTGTTATAGGTGCAGTTAGTAGGTTCAAATTGGTGAACATCAGCAAGAGACCAGGTGTAACTAAAGTGCCCCTAAAAGCATTATTCTTGGATTGGAGCAGAGAACTCCCTCCCGCCAATACACAATCTCAATTACAAGACATAGTCACCTTATTTATCAACTCGTTGCCCATCAACTTACTTTCACAAAGAACTTAATATACCAAGTTATAAATTTACAAAATTGAAATCATCAATACTACAAAAATATTGAAATCTATTTGAAAAATAGTTGGTCACAATCATGATGAATCATGGCGGAGCATATCAGTCATCAATCCTTCAAACCCGATACCTCACATAGGACTAACAAGTGCCATACAAACAAGATGACCAAGGACATAATAACAGTATAAAATAAGAGCCAATAACTGGTTTTGTTTTCTAACTCTAATAAAGGCACGGGGCACAAAAATTATAGTTATAGGGCATTGGGTATTTGTAAGTTGTATGCACGACCTAGTTGGTATCTACTCATGAGATAGGTTGATAATGAGTTTAGTAGATATACCCAGAAATACATAACTCCTCCATTTCAGACTCTAACTGAGCCTAGATGTGAACCCAAGTCACTATACTTACCATAGAAATCCAAAATCAAGAAGCAATATTCAAGGACAGTGAAAAACGCATACCTCACCAGCAGTAACAGCAATGACATGTACACTGAAACCTTGTGTTGCATTGCCTGCATCACTCCATTTGCAGAAGCATCAAATTAAAATTACAGACTCTATCGCACACTCGATACCTTTTGTTAATGCTAATCAGTAAAATAGTATCAAAAATATAAACTCAAGCTACATAACCAAGAAAAGTAACACATAAGCGAGCACCCTCTAATTCTTATAAATAACATCCAAGAGAAACAAATGAATACCAATCAACCGACAACACGGAAAACAATGTCTCGTACTCGACTAGTGGATGAATTAGTAAAGAATCAGCTAAATCTTGACACAAAATAGCTGAAACTATGATTAAGTACAACACAAAAACTATTTTAACTTGAATATTAAATCTTATATAGTTACAACCCTAGTGGATCAAATCAAACACAAAATCAAATCCAAATTACTTAGTTTTCAAGCGTGAAGAAAATAAGCATGGTTTCATTTCATATACACAAACTTGATAACTCGAAATAAGAGAGGGTTTCATTCCATCAACAAAATTCACAGCCAGAACAAACCAGAACGTAATCAAAAAGCAGCAAGCGTATATTTTTATATTCTTACCAAAATTTGATGTGCATGACTGTTTTGCTAGTCTTTCAAAAAGTGTTTGGCTGTGTTGTTCATGGCTTAAAAAATGAGTCTTTCATGACTCTAAAACATTCAAAAAATGGCTGAAAAAATCGCATAAAACATTAGAATACATAATATACTCAACAAACACGGATTAATAAAATACAAGTGATTTCAATCTTGATTTGTTTTAGGCACAGCCAGAAGGTTGTGACTAAGTCGGAGAGGATGATAGAACTCCACTCCGGCTGAAGTTTCAGTAAATCGTATAATACATTATAAAAAAATTAGTAAAATATTACAAAACAATTTACTAAAAAAACTTAAGAAATATTTAAACAATACCTTGTAAAACATCTTCAGAAATCTCATACTCCTCGTTGAATTCCAAGTCTTTGAATTGGTAAAAAGAAGGCCTCAACCAATTATGAGCACAAATTAGAGCCTCTGCCATTTCTGGTTTGAGAGAGCTTCTATATACCTCTAAAACTCTGCCACCCGTGCTAAAAGCACTCTCAGAAGCCACGGTTGAAACTGGCGTAAGCATGATATCTCTAACTATTTGGGACAGAATTGGGTATTGACCGGCATTATGTTTCCACCAACAAAGAATGTCAAACTTTTTATTATCCCTCTCATTAAAAGTTAAACATTTTCCTTATATATAGTTTTGAAGCTCTGTTTCTTCTTCCACTAAATCCATAGACATCAAATGTTCCTGAAATGCATTTTCCCTAGCTATAGATATGATTACTTCATCGTTGGCAGCTGTTTCACCATGAGAAACAACCGCTGCAACAGGTGGAATTGAGCCTTCAGCAGTGTCATATTCTTATTTGTAAAGATTGAACATCTTTGAAAGATTGTCATTGATGTCTTTTAATAGGGATTTCAAAGTGTCAGATTCTTTTCCATACATATCATTAAAGCACCATTCTACATATCTTAACTTATACCGGGGATCAAAGATAACACCAAAATAAAGGAGTTGGTTCATCTTAGTGATATCAACCCAATATTTACTATACTTTTCCAACATGTCCCTAGCCACCTCAGCAAACAATCCATTAAGGTCCATGTTTAATTTCTTAAGCTCAACGTAAATGGCAGCCAAGTACGGAAAAGCAGTATGCAAGCTTGCTTTTGTTGAAACAGAAAATACCTTTGTCGCTTCATAATAATTCTTCAAAAACTTTATAAACACCCTAACATTAACCCAATCTTGACTACTAGGGGGAATCAACCTCAAAGAACATATACGCTTCATCCTCATCTTCTAACTTATCAAAAGCTGTTTGAAACTTTTCAGTCACATCTAACATCAAATATGTCGAGTTCCATCAAGTTGAAACATCAAGACATACTGACTTCTTGCATAAGATCCCATCATATTCCACACATTCCTTAAACTTTAAAGCCCTATGGGGTGAAGATCTGACAAACCTAATTGCATTTCTAACACTTGAAATTGAGGTGTTAGCTACTTGTAATCCATCTCTCACAACTAGATTCAATACATGGGCACAACACCTCATGTGAAACCCAAACCCATCCATCAAAAGTCCATTCATGTTTCTTACTTTTTGTTCCAAATATTTAACAACAACATCATTTGATGATGCATTATCCACCGTGATGGTAGACACATTTCTCAACCCCCACTCCTTCAACACGTCCTTAACCTTCTTACCAACAGTTTCACCCTGGTGATTTGGAATAACCGTAAAGCTTATTATTCTTTTTTGGTAATTCCAATCTCTATCGATAAAATGGGCAGTGAGGGTCAAGTAATTTAGGTTTTGGACAGAAGTCCAACAATCTGTTGTAATTGTAACTCTATTACAATCAGACTTAAAGAACGCTTTCAACCTCACTTTCTCATCAAGATATAACTGATAGCAGTCCCTAGCTATGGTTCTCGTTGACGGTATACAAAATTGGGGTTGAATTTGCCTAAAAAAGTTCTTAAACCCCTCCCCTTCAACTGTTTTGAATGGTTTCTCATCTAAAATGATAAAATAAGCCAAACCGTTTCTACAAGCAACAGGATTAAACCTAGAACTTAATGAAAGCAGCCCACTTCCCTCGGTTGTTGAATATGACAAGATTGTTTGGGTAGGGTCAATAGACACATTTAATGGATATTTTGGACATGTTTTCATGTGACTCTTTTAGTTGGAGTTCCATGTTTCTCAGAGTCACACATGTACATTTGATGGCAATATTTACACGCAGCGGTTGGTGGGTCACTATTAGGAATAAGGTTAAAGTGATCCCATACCTCAGATCTTTTTCTATTACCATTGGCATTATGTCTTCTTTTCTTTAGGCCATTTGGTGGAAGATCGGTTGTTGCTGTAGTTTGTTGCCCACTTGTTGTTTGTTGTCCACTTGCTGAAACAATTGGAGTGTGGTGTCCACTTGCTGAAACAAAGAACTTAAATTATTAAAAATTACTACATTGACAGTATGTAATGTTATATGATAGCATCAGTACTTAAAAACTGAACAAAAAAGGAACCAAGTATCATATATGTAGCATTATGCCAACAACAATACATTATGTGAGTGAACAATGGTAAGTAAAAACTGCAGGGAATTTCTTGTGATATTTTCAACGAATTTTGGTATGTAACAGTTCTTAACATAATTATTTAACCTAAAATGTCCAAAAGTTCTATCATTTTTCAATTGTTTTCAATTTAGAATTTGCATAACAATACATCAGAGTGAGCCTAAACTTACATGTATTTTGCATATCTCTACTTCCTCCATCTCCTTGCATTTCTCCAGCTCCTTGCATTTCTCTAACTCTTGCATTTAAAACAGAATACAATATTTTAAAAAAATCAGAACAAGTCTAAACAAATTAGAGTATGTATTCAAACTCCAACACTTGATACATTAACTTCAGTAACTATACAAAAAATAACCACACCTTTTCAACTCTTTTAATAGAATTATCAGCAGCACTGTAATGAGAAAAACAAGAGGGATCAATATTATTAAAATATTAGGATTGCAAAACAAATTAAGCATATTGAGAAGAATACAACTTGACATTGTTTCTTTATTTTTGGCTAACCCAGCAAAAAAGATACATAATTAGTGTTTTGGAAGCAATGGTAATAACAAGAATTAGTGTTAGAAGTCATGATTTAAAACAGAAAAAAATCTCAAAAAATGAAGTTGTGTTAGAAGCCATGATTTAAGAACAAATCAAAGTAAATCAAAGCATAAATTGAAGATGAACTCAGACACTAAAGTTGAACTCAGAAAAAACTCATAAAAATAACAAATCAAACCAAATAAGAAAAAATCAAAAGACGTACCTATTTGAAGGAATGACTTGAGCAACGATGAAGACTAATCGTTCAGTGATGAGTGATGACGACACAATGAGGTAGTGTTTCGTTTAGGGTTTGATTTCATTTTGGGGATGACAGCAGCGGCGGAAGCATTGCGTTGTTGCGTTTTAGGGTTAGGGCAATGAAAAGAAACTGAAGAAGAAACATATGAAAAATTAAAAACTATCTGAAGAAGTAAAGAAATTAAACCGGTCGAATTCAGAGACCGACGAGTCTAATTTGTTAAACCGAATGATGACGAGAAAACGCATCGGTTATATCGCTAGATTTCATTGACTTTTACCGCGCATTCACCGTTTTAACGCTCGATTCCTCGAGTTTTTCTTACTATTTTGCAGGTACATCGATATGTGAGGCCAAATCAAGAATTAAGAAGAAAAGAACAAAGAAACCACAAGAAATGAAGCAAGACAGAAGCCTGCATAAAACTCTGCATAATTTGTTACGACCACGGTCGTTACAAGGGTGTCACGACCGTGACACCTTACTTTGGGACCTCACGACCGTGAGGAAGTAGTCACGACCGTGACACTTGAAAACATAAGACAACGAGCGTGAAGACCTTGTCACGCCCGTGACAAGGATATAACTTGATTCTTTTGACTCAGACTACGTCAAAGCCACCAGTGAAGCCACTCCTCCTAGTAATTCTCACGTGAGGGAGACCTCTCCCACTTTCTGCTGCCACTTTCCAACATTTTCTCAACCACTTCAGCAAAGCCCAAGAAGCAAAAGTCCCAGGACCAGCCCGTTGGAAGCTCTATAAATAGGACCAGCTCAGGAGGATTTAGGGACAGACTTCAGTATCCAAATTTCCTGCGGAAGCTCTGCCGAATTACCTTACCATCAGATTTATTATTCCAGCATTTTATTTTCTGCCTTATTTTATTTGTATCCAAACCAACCGTGTAACAATTTCCAACATTAGGGAATTGTTATACCTTTATTTGTTTCCAGCCTTCAGCATTTCGTTTTAATTTTTATTTCCGCCTACTCCAAGCCTTCCGGTCTGTGGAAGAAGGAGTCTACTCAGATATTTGTTAATCAGGTTTTTCAGTCATTGCAATTTAATTTATTTATTTATAATGTCTATTTATTTTTCTGCCATTAGTAAGTTAATAATTAACTCTGAATCTGATTTAACCTCGATGAGTAGCTAAACACCTTAGGGCGGTATGTAGTTATAACTAGCTTAACCGGTAAAATATAACCATGGGCTAAAATAATTAATCGCTTAACATTCTGGCTGATACTTTTTAATTAAATTCGACCTTTTCGTTACGAGAGTAAGAAAAGGGTATTAGGTTGGGTCAAGACCACGAGAGTGTGAGATTTTAACCAGATAGCTAAAGTTAGGCATTTAAATTAAATACAGCGAGAGCGCTTTAAGATAAATTAGAATTATTTAGTTTCCAAAAATTATCTCTAAACACTTATGGGCTAGCGAGAGCAGGCATAGGGCTTTAGGGATAAGATCTGATTCAAGACCACGAGAGTGTGAGTTGAGGGTATTCAAACTAGTAATCTCTACCGAATAGATTAAGTGAACATCCTTATAAGCCTAGGTTAGATTGACCCACCTAAGTTAGTATAATTACATACCGACCGTTTTAGTATTATTTTATTAAAAACTTGAATTTAATTCCGCCTTCAATAGTCTTAGAAAACCAACAACAATCGTGACAACTATTCGCCTTAGCTAAACTAGAAGTTCATCTAGCACTAAGTAACGATAGAATCCCTGTGGATCGATAATCTTAAATATTACTTCGATAGGCTGTGCACTTGCAGTAAGATACCGCTAGACGCATAAGTAGACACGTCTTTAGCCCATCAAGTTTTTGGCGCCGTTGCCGGGGATTCCTTAATTTAGTTACTAGTGCATTTAGGTAGCATTGTCTAGACTAAGGTATCAACAGTTTAATTTAATCTAATCTCCGAGTGTATGCCACGTACTCGCTCTAAAAGCGAAGACTTGCAACCTCTAATCCCTGAATCGGAACGCTTCTTACACGTAAGAAGACGTATACTCGATTTCGAAAATAATTCCAACATTCCAGATCTTCAATTAGATCCGCCTGAACCAGTCGTAAAATCAGAAACCGCAGGAATGGCTGAAGAACAAGCTCATCCACTCAAGTATTACGCTAATCCTTCGCAAGGTGAACCGCATTCAAGCATTGCAGCACCGGCTATCAACCGAAACGATTTCGAACTAAAACCATCATTGATATCAGCCGTGCAACAAAACCAATTCGCCGGAAATCCTATCGAGGATCCGAATCTTCATCTTTCGATCTTTGTGCAATATGCAGATACCGTAAAAGCCAATGGAGTTACCCAAGAAGCTATTAGACTACGTTTATTTCCTTTTTCGCTTCGAGACAGAGCAAGAGCATGGCTTCAATCTCTGCCTTCAAACTCAGTAACTACGTGGGAACAGCTTAAGAAAGTTTTCTTGAACAGGTATTTTCCACCTAGCAAGACAGCTATGCTGAGAGCTCAGATCAACGGATTTAAGCAAAGAGAAAGTGAATCATTATTCGAAGCTTGGGAACGCTATAAGGATCTACTTAGGCTTTGTCCACATCATGTATTAGTAGAATGGATGGTCATCCATACCTTCTATAATGGACTCTTGTACAATACAAGAATGACAATTGACGCTGCCGCGGGTGGTGCATTGATGGACAAAGAATATAGTGATGCCTATGCACTTATCGAAAGTATGGCTCAGAATCATTACCTTTGGGGAAGCGAAAGAGTCGCAACTGAGAAACCAACAAAGGGAGGTATGTACGAAGTAAGTAGTATGGACCAAGTCAATGCGAAGTTTGACCAACTAAGCCAAAAGATCGATAACTTGGCCATAACACCTGCAGCCACCGTGGCTGCAGTAACACCTAACTGTGAGTTATGTGGAGTCCCAGGACACGAAGTCTCTTATTGTCAACTATTGACAGGAACTCCCACTGATCAAGTGAATTATGCTCAAGGAAACCCTTACTCAAACACATACAACCCAGGTTGGAAGAATCATCCGAATTTCTCTTATAAGAGTAACAATGCTTATTACGCACCAGGTCAAGCACCAGCTACATCACCAGGATATCAAAAGACTGCTCCTAATATCCCTAGAAAGTCGAACCTTGAATTGATGATGGAGAGCTTTATAGCTAGCCAATCTCAGACGAACAAGGACTTCCTAAACCAAAACATTCACACTAGCGAGCAGATTAAACAATTAGTGAGCAAAGTAGATGCATTAGCTACACATAACAAAATGCTTGAAACTCAGATTTCACAAGTAGCTCAACAACAAGCACCTACTGCTGCACCAGCTGGAGTGTTCCCTGGACAACCTCAACCTAATCCGAAAGGACATGCTAACGCCGTAATATTAAGAAGTGGCAAGGAACTTGACGGACCTACCGATCCAAGACTTGACAATCCAGCCATGTACCAAAAACCGGATAAACCGACTGAAGTGGTGAATGATCCAGAAGAAAAGGAAGATGAAAGTCAAGAAGTAGTGGAGAAAGAACAACCTTATGTGCCTCCACCACCCTATAAACCACCAATTCCGTACCCTCAAAGACTAATAAGTTCCAAGACGACGGGTCAATTTAAGAAATTTGTAGAACTTCTGAAACAGTTGAATATTACTATTCCGTTTACAGAAGCAATTACCCAAATACCCTCGTATGCCAAGTTTCTAAAAGAAATCTTATCCAATAAGAAAAAGATAGAGGATAACGGAACAGTTACACTCACTGCCGAGTGTAGCGCCATAATCCAGAATAACATGCCTCCTAAGCTAAAAGATCCAGGAAGTTTCTCTATACCCTGTGTAATAGGAAAATTCGTCATTGACAAAGCTCTATGCGATTTAGGAGCCAGTATCAGTGTTATGCCCTTAACGATTTGCAAAAGGCTAGACATGGGAGAACTAAGACCAACAAAAATGTCTGTTCAACTAGCCGATCGCTCTGTTAAATATCCTGTAGGCATACTAGAAAACGTCCCAGTACGTATAGGACAATTCTACATTCCTACTGATTTTATAATCATGGACATCTCTGAAGACTCCACTACACCTATCATACTAGGAAGACCATTCTTAGCTACCGCCGGAGCTATAATAGACGTAAAAAGAGGAAAGCTAACCTTTGAAGTAGGTGAAGAGAAAGTTGAATTTGTTTTAACACAATTCTTACAATCACCAGCTATAGAGGATACATGCTATCTAATGGACGTAATTGACGAATGTGTAAGAGAAATGGAACTGGAGGAGACCACTTATTCTGAAATAATGAAAATTCAAATCCCTCCAATTCTCGAAGATGATAATTGGCAAAAACCGTATCAGGATAATAGTCTGAGCGAAAGCTTAGCACTTACACCGGATCCCATGCCAAGTAAAGATAAACCTACA